GCTTCACAGACAGTGAGCACCATAACCTACCTTAGTTGAAATGCCACCCTTAGAAAATCATTCTTTTGAGTTATGATGGTTTAAAATAAAAATTTCTTTGGGTTGGGTGACAATGATGAATCCATTAAGGATTTCCCCATTAGTATAATTCTGTTTACCATTTAGTTGTTTTTGCTGTTTTGGCAGAAAAATGCAGAACAGCCGAAAGGCAGAGAACACACTAAGGGTGGGTACTGCTAGAAATGGAAAAAGCTAAGAAAACACAGGCTAAAAAGATTCAGAGACAAATTTCGCCTACTCGAAGCTGTACCCAAGACACTGCCTAAAGCACAGTCCTTCAAGCATCCCTTTCCTCTCTAACTCGGAGGGCAGAGTGCATTCTGATCTTCTGCAGGGTCTCTAAGCTTTTGAATTCTCTGGTGACTACGACCTTTTCCCTTTCATTCACAAAGCATCAGAGGCAGGAGTCTGGCTGGTAGTTAGAATTCTGGTTCCACTGATGTCCAAGCTGAAACTATATTTGCATACTTGGGACTGCCCAAAGTAACTGTTCTCTAAGAAAAGGTTAGAAACTCCTGCCCTTCGGACTTACGATGAACAAGTCTTGCTGTGAGTAGCGCTTCGCCTGCTCTTGGCCATGAGCCAAAAATGAACTCTAGGGCTTTACTCCCAGCAGATGACCATGTAATAGAAAATGTTACCTATTACTTCGAGAGGTAGGTATTTTTATTCCCAGTCCAGAGACAAGAAGCGTGAAAGTTGGACAAATTTGAGACATCTGTTTACAGTCACTATGAGATAGAACCAGCAAAATTGATATAGGTTGCCACATGACATTATGATTAAATATCCAGAAATAGCTGAAATTCCAAACCTGTTTCCATCCCTTATTACTGATATGACCAGGGCAACGTTACTCATCTTCTCTAAGCCTTACTCTCCTCATTTGTAAATTAATCTTATGTTTGTTCCAAAATTCTTTAAGCAAATGTTTATTGTCAGTGGTAAACAAGGGTCTACTATGTGCTAAGCACTGTCCTATGTACCAGGATACAGTCAATACCATATAAACCAGAAAGTAATTTAAGAAAGTGACTGGTATACACCAAAGAACTAACAAAAGCTATTACTATGCTGCTGCTGCTACTACTGCTACTATTATACATGACTACCGGGCATCGTTTAAATTTTTAATTTTTTTCTTCTTGATGTATTAAATATCTCCACTAAACAACTTGAATATACATTCCCAGTGTTTATCACACACCATGAAGGCATGGCTTTCCTTTGCTTACTGTGGAGCTATACCCGAAAGAAGAAACAACTAGGCTACAAGCTGGGGGCAAACCCAGGCCAAAAGCTTTTCAAAAGATACAAATTCATAAGGGGGATGGTATTTTCCTTTTGGCTTGTAAACGATGAGTTAACATGACCATTTTCTTTCTTTGGACTCGGCCAAAACCCTCAGATTATTTATCAGTTAGTACATATTTATGTTTTCTCAAGGACACAAATACACTGCGTTGCCGATGGCTGACAGGTACCGGCTAAAACATCCAAAGTGTGAGGCAGCTGAACAGGAAATACATCCTTTTCTACTTCAAATATTTTTACCATGCCATTTTGAAAAAACGAGCAATTATGATGATGATATATGTTTATAGCTCAACTAGAATTACTCACAGATCTACAAACCACAACAGGAATGAGAGCAAGTGTAAGCTCGGGCTGCACACAGGGCGACACATGATTAGGGGAGCATACTTGAAACAGGAGACTTTTACGCATCAACTCCCCCCGGCGAAGTTTCCGTACAGCCCGTCTTCCTCATTCTCAGCGCAGTTCCAATTACTCCTGACTGCTGGTCAACTGCTTCCGTCAGAACAGGAACGGACTATTTGCTCCTTAGCATGGATGATACCAGGTTTAACTAAAGTTTTTTGACTTTTACAATGAAACATGGGCGCAAGCTCATTTCCTTTTGTGGTTTCATACTTGACAGGAATGTTCACCGGAAACAACTAACTCAAGATCTATAAACTAATCTCTTTCTCTCCTTAGAGTTATATACTGCCGCCTTGAGCAAGCCCATGACTAAACTCTCACTGGTTTAAATACTTTTATTTAGATGGAAGTGATATCAGATAAATATGCTTTAGCTTCATGCCTTAAGACACTTCAATATAGAAAGTTTCTGGAAACACTATATATTCAATTGGCTTCCTTTTTATAAAGTTTTGGTCTACTCACAGGTGCAGGGTATTACTCTCTTCACAACATATCATAGAGTCAACAGCAGATGTTTTTCCCCTCAAAATCTCATGTTGACATTTGACCCCCAGTGTTGGAGGTGGGGCCTGGTGGGAGGTGTCTGAGTCATGGGAGATCCCTCATGAATGGCTTGGTGCCCTCCCAGTGGTAATTAGTGAGTTCTCACTCTGGTAGTTCACACAAGAGCTGGTTGTTTAAAACAGCCTGGTGCCTCCTGCCTTCTCTTTTGCTCCTTCTCTCGCCATGTGACATGCCTGCTCCTCCTTCCTCTTCAGCCTTGACTACAAGCTTCCTGAAGCCCTCACCAGAAGCAGATGCTGGCACCATGCTTCTTGCACAGTCTGCAGAACTGTCAGCCAAATAAGCCTCTTTTCTTTATAAATTACCCAGCGCCTGGTATTTCCTTTATAGCAACACAACATGGACTAAGATACGTGAAATAAGTATGCTCTCACTTCATGCCTTAAGACACTTCAATATACAAAGCTTCTAGAAACACTATATATTTAGTTGGCTTCCTCTTTCTAACTTCTTACTTACTAGGTGAAAGATATCAATCTCTTCACAGCATATCATAGAATCAACAGCAGCTTTCGAAATATATTTACAAACAGACTGTTGCCAAGATATATCTAAGTCTGGTGAACAATTTTATGACATATAAACATATAATTTCACAACTAATAATAACTCCATGGCATTTTTATACAAATTTTCTTAAATCAAAAAGTATTGCATAGCCAAAATCTTCTTAACCTTCAAAATATTTACTGAGAACATGGCACTCTGTGAAAAGTAGCTGAATTCATTTTGAGCTCAAATCATTAACATGTTGGTGAAAGTCATCTCTTCATACCCCCTTTTTAAAAGCATAAAAGCAATATTCACGGGAAACTGTTCACTCATCTACCAAGTGTGCTCCAGAGTTTTCCTTTGATCCATGGTCTGAGAAAAATCTGGGCTTCAATCAAAACATACACATAGAAATTTTCCTAAGAACACTCTTCTTGTTTATGTCATAAAAACCAAAAGACTCTGAGCCTCTTAAACCTTTTAATAGTTCCTGAAGCGTGAGGATAAGCATCCTAAAGCTGGAAACAGTGGTGGGATGGGAGAGAGAAGAGATTCTAGGACAGCACAGTTGGCATGGGCACACAGGCATGAGGGTAGGCAGGCAGAAGAGGCCTCTTCTCAACAGCCCCTTCCTCAGCCTTCCCCCACCCACTTCACCCAGCCAGGCCCTCTGCTTCCAGCCTTCAATCCAGCTGCAACCTTGTCGTTAAACAAATCTGTTTGTTTCCTCCAATTCTATCTTCACCACTTCCCATCTCGGGACTCTATTCCAGATTTATCCTCTTCGGCCAAGCATGATGGCTCATGCCTGTAATCCTAGCACTCTGGGAGGCTGAGGTGGGAGGACTGCTTGAGCTCAGGAGTTCGGGACCAGCCTGAGCAAGAGTGAGACCCCATCTCAAAAAAAATAAAAATAAAAATCAATTGTGTTAAAAAAAAAAGATTTATCCACTTCAAGAAACATTTCATTAATTCTCTGTAATCCCCACTACCCTTAGCTTGCTTGTATCTTTTTTTCTTCTGTTAAATGGAGATAAGGTCTTGCTCTGTCACCCAGGCTGGAACTCTTGGGCTCAAGCAATCCTCCCGTCTCTACCTCCCAAATAGCTGGGATTACTGGCACATACCACTATGCCCAGGTTATTTTTCTGGGTTTTTTGTAGAGACAGGATCTCACTATATTGCCCAGGCTGGTCTTGAATTCCTGGGCTAAAACGATCCTCCTGCCTTGGCCTCCCAAAGTGCTGGGATGATAGGTGTGAGTCACCGTGCCTGGCCAGCTTGCCTACATCTTTATATATTGTTATATATATTTTTCCCTGTTTATTCCTGGTTTTCTTCTTTCTACACTGATTTCAGTCTCAGCTCAATTGTAAACCTGATGGCAGACAAATGTATTACAGCTTGTTAAATTCACAATAATTAACACGACAGACCCATTTTACAAATATTTAATATGGATTATAGCCTATTATGTGCCAGGCATGGTATTCAAGGTATAGAAGTAATGAGACAGACACAGCCCCTACTTCCTGGAGAGGATGACCTCAAGGCACTGAGGCAGCCACCTGCTCTTAACTTGTGAGCCTTTCAATCTGTTATGCCTTGCTGCCTAGGGTGTCTTCTTGTTGCCTTTCCACCAATATTTTTCCCTTCATTTCCAACTCAAAACCTGATGTGGGATCTCTTTTAAGGTATGGTGCACATAGAAGGCACTTAATAAATGAATAAAGTATGACTAAAAATGCCATATACACATGAATTACTAGGCAACAACTACAGTAAATCAAGAGTAACAATGAATGTTCCACGAACAAAACAGCTCCACAGTATAACCTGAAATTGCACATACAATGGTTTTTCACGTGTTTAAATTATACCAACAAAACCGCACCTGGGGACCACAACATTGTGCTTTCTCTTAAAAATATTATGCCAGCTAGCAAAAGTGAAAAGAAGATAAGTGGCTCTAAAATGTAATATTAAATACAGTTGTAATAATCTGAAATATTCTGGTAATAGCCACAGGGTTCTTTCTTCATCCATACTATGAGTTCCAAGATGGGTCCAAATCTGGGTAAAGCCATTTGACATTCTGATTCACCTCCCAGTTCTCCATTATTTTGAGGTAATTCCATCTTTAGAACTTCTCTTACCTGGTGGCATAGTTCTTCCCACTGTCTCTGCAGAAGTTCTATGCGTTCGTTAAGGATGGAGATGTCATCGGCACTGATGTACGCACAGAGGGTGTCCTTCAGCAGTGTCAGCTGTGTCAAGTCTTCTGTCCAGCTCCCAACTGCATTTTCTAATTCCTAAATTAAAAACAAAAGAATTTTGAATACCCATGGACATCCACTGTCAACGATTTCTGAAATGTTTTTGAATCCCCTCTTGACATAATTTCCTTCCATATCACTCTATTTGAACAGGCACACCTTGGAGATACTGCAGGTTTGGTGTGGTTCCAGACCATTGCAATAAAGAGAGTTTTTTGGTTTCCTAGTGTGTATAAAAATTATGTTCATACTATACTGTAATCTGTTAAGTGTACAATAGCATTATGTCTAAAAAATGTACACACCTTAATTTGAAATACTTTATTGTTAAAAAACGCTAATGATAATCTGAGCCTTCAGTGAGTTGTAATCTTTTTCATGGTGGAGGGTCTTGCCTTAATGTTGACGGCTGCTGACTGATCAGGGTGGTGGTTGCTGAAGGCTGGGGTGGCTGTGATAGTTTCTTAAAATAAGACAATAAAGTTTGCCATGTAGATCGACTTTTCCTTTCAAGAGCAATTTCTCTGTGCAATGTCACGCTGTTTGACAGCATTTTACCCATGGTAGAACTCCCTTCAAAATTAGAGTCAATCCTCTCATACCCTGCTGCTGCTTTATCAACCAAGTTTATGTAATATTTTAAATCCTCTGTTGTTATTTCAACAGTGTTTGCAGCATCTTCACTAGGAGTAGATCCATTTCAAGAAATCATTTTCTTTGTTCATCTAGAAGCAGCAGCTCCTTATCCGTTCAAGTTTCATCATGAAATTGCAGCAATTCAGTCACATCTTCAGGCTTCACTCATAATTCTAGTTCTCTTGCTATTTCTACCATTTCTGCAGTGACTTACTCCACTGAAGTTTTGAACCCTTTAAAGTCATCCATGAGGGTTGGAATAATCTTCTTCCAAATTCCTGCTAATGTTGATATTTTGACCTCTGCCCATGAATCACAAATGTTCTCAGTGGCATTTAGAATGATTCCTGAAGGTTTTCAGTTTACTTTGCCCAGATTCATCAGAGGAATCACTATCCATGGCAGCAATAGCCTTACAAAGCATATTTCTTAAATGATAAGACTCAAAGTCAAAATTACTCCTTGATCCATGGGCTGCAGAATAGATGTTGTCTTAGAAGGTACGAAAACATCAATCTCCATCAGAGCTCTTGAGTGACTAGGTGCATTGTGAATGAACAGTAATATTTTGAAAGCAGTCTTTTTTTCTGAGCAGTAGGTCTCGAAAGTGGGCTTAAAATATTTGGTAAACTATACTGTAAACAGAAGTGCGCCATCCAGGCTTTGTTGTTTCATCAACAGAGCACAGGCAGAGTATATTTAGCATAATTCTTAAGGGCCCTAGGATTTTCAGAATGGTAAATAATTATTGGCTTCAACTTGAAGTCACCAGCTGCATTAGCCCCTAACAAGAGAGTCAGCCTGTCCGTTGAAGCTTTGAAGCCAGGCATTGACTTCTTTCTGACTACAAAAGTCCTAGATGGCATCTTCTTCCAATAGAAGGCTGTTTCGTCTACATGGAAAATCTGTTGTTTTGTGTAGTCACCTTCATCAATTATCTTAGGTGGACCTTTGGTTAACTTGCTGCAGCTAAGCCTGCTTCACCTCACACTTTTATGTTACGGAGATGGCTTCTTTCCTTAAACCTCATGAACCCCCTCTGCTAGCTTTGAACTTTTCTTCTGTAGGTTCCTCCCCTCTCCAGCCTTCATAGAATTGAAGGGAATGAGGGCCTTGCTCTGGATTAGGCTTTGGCCTAAGGGAATGTTGTGGCTGGTTTGATCTTCTATCCAGACCACCAAAACTTTCTTCTATTAGCAATAAGGCTGTTTCACTTTATCATCTGTGTGTTCACTGGAGTAGCACTTTTAATTTCCTTCTAGAACTTCTCCTTTGCGCTCATGACTAGGCTAACTGTTTGGCACAAGAGGCCTAGCTTTTGGCCTACCCTGGCCTTCAATATCTCTTCCTCATTAAACTTACTCATTTCTAGCTTTTTGTTTAAAGTGAGAGATGTGCAAGTCTTCCTTTCACTTGAACATTTAGGGGCCACTGCAGCGTTATTAATTGGCCTAATTTCAATATTGTTGTGTCTCAGGAAATAGGGAAGCCCAAGGAGAGGCAGAGAGATGGGGGAATGGCCGGTTGGTGGAGCACTCAGAACACATGCAACGTTTGTTGATTAATTTCGCCATCTTATATGGAGGCAGCTCATCATGCTCCCAAACAATTACAATAATAACATGAAAGATCATTGATCATAGATCACCATAAGAGATATAATAATAATAAAAAGTTTGGAATATTGTGAGAATTATCAAAATGTGACACAGAAACATAAAGTGAGCATATGCTGTTGGAAAAACAGTGCCGATAGACTTGCTCTATGCAGAGTCTTCAACTTGTAAAACCTTCAATTTGTAAAAACACAATATCTGCACAGTGCAATAAAGCAAAGCAAAATAAAAGGAGGTTTGCTTGTACTTTATTTACTTCCTATGTAATTTGATTCTGATAAAATATGATTGCTTGTAGACTCTTCCTGCCATATATTTACCATTTCGTTGATCTTTTCCTGATGTTTATTTTTAAATTGAAGTTTCATCATTGCATTGATCTTCTTTACTTTAAACTGACTTCATAAGCCCTAACCCATCCATTCTTCTTGTCCTGAGTTACGGATCATGCTGACAAAATATTTTTTTTAAAAAAAGACACCTAAATTTAACTTTCATTTCCAAACTCTACGAGTTGCTATATTCTGTGATCTATACTTATAATGTAATAGCTAAGAGGATCTGTTGCTGTTACTACTCAATTTAAAATAATGCACTGAATACATTTTCTGCAGGATCAGAGATTTCTTTAAGTTACTAAAAAAGGAATATGTACCCTGTCCCTTTGGGGAATGATTTAAGAAAAAAATCCATATAACAATATTTGAATGAGTTGACATTAGTTTTTGGAATGTTTTGACTAATGATGAGTTTTGCAATTTGTATAATCACTTGTTGTTTTTAGATGCTAGATAATTTCAATGTGTGAATAGAATATTTCACGCGGCTTTTTCCTCCCTTTATGTTTCTTCACACAGGAGACAGGTTTTCAAAGGCACAGGCAATTAACAATGCTGTTTGAGGCTAACTTCCCAGGCAATTTAGGCAAACAAGGTTTTAGCCTAAATTTTCCAGGTAATTGCTTTGTTTTGCTGCTAAGCATGGTTTGGGGAAGAGTAGCAGAGAACTAGACTGAAATAAATTTTTTTAATCTACAAATTCAATAGCAGGGTGTGTTTGTAACTGTCATGCATTTTGGGAGATGAAAAATTAGGTTCCATGGCAACAGTATTTGGCAGAAAAACCAAACCACCTAGGTGAATTAAATATGTGACATTTCTGTTTATAGCTTTAGACACATTAAATTGTTATATCAACATAAAGATTTTCCTATTTTTATCCCAATTTCTAGCTCCCAACTCAGATTTGGTATACTGATTAAAAAGAAACAATAACACCCCCCAAAACAACTAACTGTTTCAGACTTAGTACATCCTATCCATTAGATGAGTCAGTGTGGTAAAAATATAGCCTGTAGATTCAGGCAACCCTGATATTAACTAACTTTGAAAAGTTATTAAACTTCGAGAAGCCTCAGTTTTCTCATCTGCAAAAGGGTAGTAACAGAATGCTTTCATGAGCTTGTTGTGTTCATGTTAACTGAGATAACACTAGTACAGCCATTGGCACATAGGAGAAGCCTAATAAATGCACATTTCTGCTCTGCAAAAATTTTCATTAATATTTTTAATAAATTTACAATTGCAGGTTTG